AAACTTATGGTTAACAATTGCGAGACATTCAATGGACCCAAAAATGGTTACACACTAATGGCTTATGGCGTTTGGCGTGCATTCAAAAAGGCTTCACTTAAGCATTTGGAACGAGAGCTCAGTTATGATGAGAGCAATGCATTTATTTATCCACAAAAATGGACCAAAAATAACACAAAACCCGCGATTGAGGCGAAGAAAAAGAAAATACGAAACAAAAAGAGCTCCACTTTTACAGCACTTAATGTTTTGGCCGAAGCGGCAGAAAAGGCGGTCGAAGCCAATGAGTCTCGACTCATCAAAACTACTGCCGACACCGCGTGTGTGGACACAACTTCTCATTCAAATAGCCATTTATGTGACACAAACAGTAAGAGTGCAGTCACTGGAGGAGACACTGAATCGAAATCACTTCAAATTCACGGCGATATGTGGGCTAACTTTCTCTTCAATACAAACCATACCATTGATCGTAGCGTTACATCAGAAGAATCAAACACATCGGCAACCAATGCATCAACACATGAGAACTTGACGTTCAAATCGTTGGACGAATGGAGTAAAAGCATTAAACAGAGCGGAAATTGTGTGGTTTTGCCACAAAACGCTGTCATAATAGCATCGCCGCCTAAATTCACTCATTGCACGAACGGACCGACTCTTATTAAGCCACAGATCTCACTGAAAGTGATTTCGACGGGCAATAACACGGCTTCAAACACCACAACAAACACTGTTTTCGTCAATTCCGGCCATTCATTCACTTCATCCGTCATTTCCAACAACGAAAACTCGCGCAAAGAGTTGGTCAACGCAGACCCCAAACGACTGGTCATCAAATTGAGTCGATGCGAGTCGTCCGGACAGGTCTGGAAACCGGTCACTATTGTCACCACAAACTCAGCGCAGAATAACTTGAATGCAAATAATATAACCGAAACGAATCCAATGAATGGACAGACACTCGTCGGCACTACTGTTCAACAGTTTCAGGGATTGAGAAATATTCCCACGAATTGTATTCCTGTGAAGAAGCGATTCTTAATACAAGGCATTAATCATAACTCAATCGCTGAACAACAGAACCCGACCCTAACTCACAACGCGAACGCATCGGTTGCTAATAACTTGAAGCAAATGCCCCACACTTTTCAAATTACAGGTATTTTTGAAATATAAATAATAAATTGAGTGAAAACATGTGTGTAATTGAATCTCTGCCTTAATAGGGGTCCAAACGAACCAAAACAATAATTTAAAAGTGTTTCGACTCAAAACGTTGGACCAGTCGTCCAATGAATTGTCTGCCACTCAAAGTCCTATTGTTTCCAAAGAAGTTGTCACGCCTTTTGATAAAGTAATTATGATTTGCTATTATTTACTGACATTTTCTAATAATTGTTATGTATTTATAGCCGACTACTAATGGGACGGTTTGTCACGATTTCGAGGACAACAATAATTCTCAAAATTTTACTAATTCTTAAAAACCGAGATTTTTGTTAAAAACGATTATTATTTGTATTTTATTTAAACTTTAATATTTAAAAACTATTTAAAAATTTTTAATTTATGTGACTTTCATTAACTTTGAATTACTTTTAAGCACAAGATGTTTGTTTTGTTTTATATTATTTTTTGTGATATTTTCAGTGAATTAATTGTTTTTATATTTAATTTCATCTCAAATAAAACCAAAATTATTACAAAATATTTTTAAAAGTTTCACTTAATTAAAAAAACATTTACTATTTTTTATACAACATTTGAGTTTCACTTATTTACAGATAATTCGTTGAAATAAATAACTGATAGATTTGGTCGATAGCTATCGATCTAATGACTTAATATTAATACAAAAAGTGGTTTCCGTTTAGACGTGAGATTCCAATGGGTTGTTAAGTATGGGTTGGGGTTAAGAGGCTTTTCCCAATTCAATCTTCTTCTGAATGGCGCGAATCGAGTGATAGAGCAATGAGTCGATGATCGCCGACACCGTGAAAACGCCGCCCACTATAGCGCACACAGACGTCAAGAAATGCATAAACGATCGGTTGATTTCGCTGTACTTAACCATAACGGGTCCGAACTCGTAGATGAAGAACACGCCCGGCATTCCCGACTCAGTCAACGTGTCCTGAATGGGCTTCCGATGTCGGGTC